AGTTCTATGAAGCCAACCGTTCAAATTTAAGCTGGGTATTTACAAAGAAAGACAAATGCCTGCTTTTATTTTTTAACTTACTGAGAAATTTCTGCACATTGGTCCTTCGCTTTCTAAAATTACTCCGTTTGGCTGATGTTTGCAGTGGTTGTTCGTTTCCCTAGCTTTGTGTTCAGTGGCATGTTGGATTTTTTTGCTGTACCTGCAGTTTCCAGCCTTCGGTGGGTGTTTCAAACCATGCTGACAGCTCGTCTCTAAACACCTTCTTTAGTCACGGTTGACACGCATAAAATCTTATAGGTAAGGAGGTAATTTCTATGCAGCTCCTCAAAGGGTGGTGTGATAGATGATGTGTTCAAAACACACAACCCAAGTACAAATGGTAACAGTGCAGGACTCTCCTAAAGTTTTCACACTTAAATTAAAAGTAGTAAGATTTCAATCAATGTGGTGAGCAGAACACAATCTAGAGAGCCACAGTCCCCACCAGCCAGGATCCACAAAGGAGCATGAAGTAGGGTGTGTGAACTAAATCCCTGGGCCGGATGGTAGGTAGCTTATGGGTCATATTTAAATCGTCTCATTGAGAAATACTGCATTACTTTAGCCATTTACCCTAAAAGATAAATGTGACCCTTTTCTCTGCAAGCATTTTCCTGCAAAACACAAGCATACTTAGACCTCATTTTTTAAATCACCTAAGCGATACAGACTTGGGCCCCAGGACTTCAGTACCTCACCGTATTGCCTTGACTGGGTTATGCTTCAATGACACCTTCTGCATCCATGAAATGTTGCTATAAGAAATGGTCAAAAAGCCATTTTGCCTTTGTACTTACTCTTTAAAAAACAGGTGGCTGTGGGTGTAGCTCAATGAAGAGCATTTGCCAGGTATCTGTGAGGCACTGCATTTGATCACCACAAAAACCATTCATTCATTCATTGTTGCACAGACTCAAACCTTTTTTTTTTTGGTACCGGGGATCAAACTCGGGTCTTTGCACTCACAAGGCAGGCAGTGGCACCACTGAGCTAAATCCCTGGCCCATATTAAATCTATCACTTAGTGTTTCCTATAAAGAAGAACTTGTCACTCACAGGCCAGATATATTATAGAATATGCTTCCAATAAAAATTATTCCTTTCTGAGAACTGTTTCTTGTTTTAGATAAGAAAAAATGTGTGGCTTATTGTATGTCCCCTTTTACATGGACTCCCAGGGATCTCACAAAAAAGAATGAAGCTCAAACAGATAACTGAACTCATATAAAATCATTTCACTTTCCACTTTTCTGTCAGTCTAATTTCCTATTTCTATTTTACTGCCTTTTTGTTGCTGTTACAAAAGCTGCTTCAAATTATTTTGGGTACAGAATTGGAATCAATAATTTAATTTTTTAAGAGGGCATTATATGGCTACATTAACTCTGATAATAGTTGATAAGCAAAAAACAGAAAGAACTCTAAAGAGTTCAAACGAGCTAGGTTTGGTGGCACGTGCCAATAATCCCAGTTCTCAGGATACTGAAGCAGGAGGATTACCATGAGTTCCAGACCATCCTGGGCTACATAGTGACTTCAAGGCCAGCCTCAACTATAAAGTGAGACCCTGTCTCACAAATAAATAAGTTCAAAGTTCAAATCTAGCTACAAATGCTTTGCATCAAAGACCACATGGTGCCCTGAGAGAATGTCTTGCTTAAAAGCTTATTTTAACTTTAATTAGACATAATTCTAACAAGTTGAACTATTTTTTAGGGTGTAAAAAATACAAAGAAGAGTGAGAAACTGGGAGCTGCAGACACACTGTTAGAAAAAAATCACCCGCAATTGACTGCAAAGAAGAGGATACACTACGAAATGGAAAAGAAGAGGTCAGACTGCAATCCAGAGCCATTTCCCAGAGCAAAGTTTACAGGGCAGACTTCAAGTGTAGATATTAGAGTCATCCGGAGATTTGTCTGAAAGGTAAGAGTCTGAGCTGTCCTAATCATCTTTTGAGGGGAAGTCCATTTTTGATAAGCATAGTGGGTGATCCTCCTGTGTAGAGCAGTTTGAGAATCCCACGTGTAGACACTGAAAACTCCGGATAACTCGGCAGACCAGCAGGGCCCAGCCATACACCAAACCCAAGAACATCAAACACTATTTCACAGCCTCCCTATTTTAGAAGGCAGAGAGATATATTATAAATGTTAAAAGGCCCACCTCGAACATTAGTAATATACAAATGCTTTAGTGTTTTGTTGTCTTCTTGTGTAGCGGGACACATTCTGACAAATGCAAATAATTGAACTATGACTATCAAGTACTGCAATGGCATCTGTAATCCCAGCATTTAGGAAAATGAAGCAGCAGGATCTCGAGTTCAAGGCCAGCCTGGGGCAGCTTAGTGAGCCTGTCTCCAAATTGAAAAAGAAAAAAAAATGTTTGGGGCTGCAGAGGTAGCTCAGCATTCACAATCCCCAGTAAAGAAAAAGAAAGAAAAGGAGGGAGAGGGTAGAAAGAAGGGACGGAACAGGACTGGACACGGGGAGGGGAGCAGAGGTGAAGGGAAGGGAGAGGAGGAGAGGGACAGAACAGGGACAGAGCCTGGAACGAGGACTGGGACGAGACGGGGAACAGAAAGGGAGACGAAGAAGGGGAAGAGGAAAGGAAGGGAACACTGACTGACAGACTAGCCCACCACAATCGCAGACGCAGGCAGGACACTGCTGGGTGAGAGGCAAAGGACGTGACTCAGAGCACAGAAGAAGCCTGAGCCCCGGGTTTGCCAGCTCCCCTTCTCCTCACGCCCCTAAGGCCATGCACATGGGCCCACCTGGGTCTGCACACAGATGAGGAGTGGAAGCCTAGGGATCCCCACTGCTGCCCACGAGAGCAACATGCCAGCCTGCACTTTGCTCTTGGGAAGGCACCATTTTTATCATGGTGGAGCACAAACAAACCTGCTCTCTGCTCCAGGGGGACCATGACTACCCCTATCTTTAAGGTTGCTCACTGAACAAATATTTCGTGTGTGTGTGTGTGTGTGTGTGTCTGTTTTACTGGGAATTGAACTCAGGGCCTTCACACTAAGTAATACCTCTAGGTCTTTTTTATTTTTTTATTTTGAGATGGTGTCTTCCTAAGTTGCTAAGATGCCCAGGCTGGGCTCAAACTTGTGGTCCTCCTGCCACAGCCTCCCAGAGTGTTAGGGTTACAGGTGTGAGCCATCATTCCTGACTTCACTACAGAAATGTTCCTCAAGAGAATCGACGAGAGACCTTGTGGAGAGATGGCCAAGAATGACCCGTCCTCTTGGCTGTGCATTAGTGTTTTCCTTTTAAAGTCCAGGGATTTGTTGTCACTTGGATAAGAATAGATTTCCTTTTCCTTCTAGCTCACTGGTTGCTCCTTCTTGATTTTCTTTGCTGATCCTCCTCTTCTCCCACCCTCTGAAGGATAGGCAGTTCCAGAGCCTTATTGTTCTCTTCCCTGCCTACAATTGTGCTCAGCAATCTCATCCAATCTCACACCTAAAATAGCATCCATACTGTCAGTAACTGCATATTCCTATTTCCACCCCAGGACATTCTCAGAATTCCAAACCTGGATAACTGACCGCATTCTCATATTTATTTCCACTTGGATGTCTAATAAATATCTCAAGCCTTAAACCTGTGGACTATCTGGTGGGCTTCTCAGTTTAGTTAACTGGCAACTCCATTACTGCAATGGTTCAGGCCAAACAGCATAACCTTCACTCATGATATATTAACCTTACTGGATTAAGAAACATCTAGCAGGGTAACAGACCACACTTCTGGGTATAACTGTTTGGGTGTTGGAAGTGTGACATTGGGTACCAAATGGGCCCCAGTCCATTTTCGTCTGGCACTGTTCCCCTGCCCCACTCTCTGGCCACCATGAACTAAGCAGATTTGCTCCACCACACCCCTCCACCGTGATTTTTCTGCCTTGGTGCCAGCTGACCATGGACTGAATTCCCCTAAATAGTGAGCTAAAGTAAACCTTTCCCTCTTAAATTGTAGATGCCAGCTCTCATGTATCAGTGACAGGAAAGCTGACAAATATTACCTAGAATTTTCCTTCCTTTGTATCCCACATCTACTCTGTGGGAACAGATTATTGGCTTTACCTGGAAAGTGTATCTCGCCATTTCTATTTCTCTCTGGTCCATCATCATTTCTCTTCTCAGTTACTGAATTAGGTTCCTAAACCATCTACCACCCATGCCTCTGCAAATTTCCCCTAACACAAATATACATACAGTCTATTATAAAAGTCAGATCATTTCGCTCCTCTGCACAAAAACTCAACTGAACCCATGAATCTGCTTCATCCTTTTTACTTCTCAGACTTCTGTTACTGTTACAGTACTTCCTTCCCTATCACACCAGCCTTGGCTACTTGCACAATCTTAGGCACAATCATACTGTATTACTCTCCTCCTACTGCTGTTATAATAAATGAGTAGAAACACAGTGGCTTAAAACAATACCAACTTATTTTCTTACAGTCTGGAGGTGAGAAATCTGTGACCAGTCTCACTGGGCTAATGCCAACCTGCTAGCAGGGCTGGCTCTTCTGGAGGCTCTGAGAAAGAGCCATTCCCTTTGCTTTTACAGTTTCCAGCAGCCTCCTGTACGCCTTGCCTTGTGGCCCCTCCCTCCTGCACCAAGTGCAACAAGCCAACCCCTACTTCCATCATCACATTCTCTGACTCTGGCTTTTCCTGTGTCCTCCTTATAAGGAGAGATGATTACAGTAGTTTGGTCCACTTGAATCATCCAAATAATCTCCCTATAACGAGAGTTTTAATCTGATCTCATATGCAAAATCTCTTTCGCTATGTACAGTGACAGATTCTGGCATCAGGACATGGATTTATATGGGGAGCCATTTTCAGCCTACCGCACCAACCCCAATTTCCTTTGCATTGGCAATTTCCTCTACATGGGACACTCTTCTACACAACCAATGGCTGATTCCCTTACCTTTTTCAATTTTTCACTTGGGTGTCACTTTGTCTTGCAGGCATTAGGCCCTGGGTTTGGTCCTTGCACTGTTAAAAAAAAAAAAAAGTATAAAGTATAAAATCATTATCAGCAGCAGCAGCAATTCCATACCCCATGTTCCTGATCCCTTTACTCCCTCCCTTACCTCACTACTCTACCTTTTATCTTTTTTTTTTTTTTTTTTTTTTTTTTTTTTTTTTTTTGTACCAGGGATCAAACTCAGGACTTGTGTTCATGAGGCAGGTGGTAGAACCACTGAGCTAAATCCCCAACCCTTTCTCATCATCTTCTAACATGCTACTTATTTCTGGTTCCCCACACTAGAATATATGGGGGTAGACCACTTTCATCTATTCTGTTCATGGATAAAACTCGAATACATAAAACACCACCTGACACATGTTAGAAGTTCAATAAATATTTGTTGAACAAATAAATGTCACTGATCTCATAAACCTGAGACACCAAAAGAAAGTGATGGTTTTAATGCCAGATAATAACTTGGGCTCCCGATAGTCTCAGAAATTATACCCTCACCATACCCTGTTGAACTATAGGTCCCAGGTTCCTTTGCAAGAATGTGCCTCTGCTGGGCACTACTGTCCCCACTGGGACGAACCAGATAATTCCACTCCCATCTCCTAATCATGGAAGAATCCTATCCCAGTTCTCAACAGCTCAAAACCCAGATGAGTGTTTTTAACAGTGACATGAAGATAACTAAAGGACAAACAGAAAAAGGGTGGCATAAACTGCAAAGAAGTTTAAAATCACCTGTTGTGTCATAAAAATTATTTTGCACTGATAACATTTGAGTTACTAAAATGTCTTATCTGCCTAAAAGCAAAGCCTCCCAAAGAACCATTTTCAAAAATCCTCTCCTAAGAGTGACTCTTATCTTTTTTTCTGCCAAGAGCAAGAAGCTGGCACCACACCCAAATAGACCTTGTAGCAAAACTACCATGTTTCCCATCTATTTTCCCAAGGGTTCATTTATCTTTTCCAACAGTCATGTTGTTTCCATAAATGTCTTTTCTGTTTGTACTTCCAAAGAAGTCATTTGTTCTCCCAAAAATGTGCTATCACCCCATCTCTTCCTCATATTCAGAAGGCCTACAATCCCAAATCCTAACCACTTCTTTGAGTCACATTTTTCTGTGAACTTCCACACATCTATGATAATAAAAAAATGTATCTTTTCTCTCGCTGGTCTGTCTTTCGTCAGTTTAATTTGCAGGCTGTGAGAATGGAACATAAGAAGGCAGATACTACGGTTTGACTATGGCTTGAGTTTCCCCCAAGCCTTCTTGTATTGGAATTTAATCCCTTTTGTGAGGTACTAAAAGAATGGACATTTACTAAGATCTCTCACTTTAATTGTTAGGGTCAGGGATAAAGGGGAGGACAAGTAAGGGAATTGGATCAGATAGCAGCCTCAGGAGAAAGCAACAAAAGACTGTGTTGAAATCTTCGACTCTGACTTAAATCCCAAGTTGTGACTGACCACCAGGCCCCACCAGGCACCACCAGGCCCTGTTTACTATAAACTTTCTAGACCAATCACCCCAACAAGTCCAGAAATAATAAGTACTTCTCATGGACTGTTCTCTACTCCTGAATTTCCCCTGTTTTACATTATCCCACCTCTCTTATCTGCAGCCAATGTAGGCTCAATGTAAGCAGTACATGCTTTCCTTTCCCAGTTTTTCATTCTAAAAGCACTCTTGGCTGTGGGTCCAGTGGACTTATTTCCAACTCCTGTCTAGCCTGGTTGCTGTAGCTGCAGAAATCTGTCCCAAGTCCTGTTCCTTTTCCCAACTGGCAACTGAAATGGTCAAATAAACCCTTTATTTCAGAGATCTCTCAGTCTCAGGAGTTTTGGTTTAACAAACCTAAAAACACAAACTCAACTGCAGAGCTCTCACCTGGCTCACAGAGTCCGTCCAAGAGAGAGAGGCACACCCATCCCTCCCACCACAGAAGAGGTTCAGGAACTCTGTTACTACTCTGCAGTCCAAGTAAAACTGCTTCCTGAGTCAAAGACAGTAGGAATCTAAACATCTGTCTTCAAGAATTTTTGTTTCTCTGCAACAGTAATTTATAGGAGGGATACCAGCCCCAACCCAACAGAGGTTAATCTTGCCCTAAGAGTTGTTAAAGAATAAATACTCCATTATAATTCGATGATAACACACTTTTCAATCTTAATTAAAGTATCCGTGACACTCAAGTCAGACCTCACACTTCACACAGTGATACACAGGTTCCAGAACAGGTGAGAACAGGTTAACAGGGGCTGCAGGATTTAGAGGCAGAACAGAAAGCAAAGGCAGAGAGTGCCCACAGAGATGTGAGAAGTCACCACTGGTGGCCGGATAAAATTACAGACAGAGCTTGTTGGAGGTGTGGGTGTTGTTAAGAGCAGCAGAGCTGGTTCAGAGCCCAAGACTGGAGGGCTAGCAGTTCAAGTGGGCTGCACTAGGGAGACTGAGCTGAAGAAGGAGGTGCGGGGAGGACACACAGAGAACCAGTGTGTACCACCTATCAACCATGTTCACCAGGGTGGTCTAATGAGTCCACAGGTCAGTGTATATGATGCCACCACAACCCAGTGTTGGATGCAATTCCTTTCATATAATCCAGGTTGGAGAGGTGCATCATTCCTTGGTCTGGTGTGTCCAATAAGCTCAAAGGCCTGGTTTTCTCTGTTAATGAGGCAAGAGATTAGGGCAAGGCCAACTGGTTGAACAAGAAGTGGGCATGATCTGTCAATCAAAGAGTGAGCAAGTGGCCATGACCTGTCAGTCATGTAGACCCAGGGCACAGGAACAAAAGTATCCACACCCTGCACCTGGGACCAATGAGAAAGTGCTGTCTCCAATTCTTCTGGCGTGGAATCGAGCAGGTTTTTGATTAGATGGCCTAGCTCTGAAGTCAGCCTGAAGAATAAAGACACTGCCCTAACTCCCTGACCACTGTGAACTCTCTCAGAGGCCCTCTCTCACTCTGCAGAGCGTACTTCTCTTCTGATTTTTATTAAATGTAAAACCACATTACCTATTTCATGGGTCTTGTCCAATTCTTTGTTCAGGACATCAACAACCTAGAAAGAGTCTACAGAACCCCCAAATCCAGTTAACAATTTGGCTTTGATCTAGCATGTGTTCAGGTGGCCATGATTTAATTTGAAGGGGGAATAAATGTAACTCCCAAACCTGCCAGATATCTGAAGCATGTGTTCATGTTCTGTAAGACCAAAGAATGAATTCTAGGAACAACGGAGGTTAAGAGTAGAAAAAATTTATTGAGAGAAAGATGGCTTCTAAGAGAAACAGAAGGTAGACTGGAAAGTGGGTTACCTGCCCACCCACTTTTCAAAGGTGTTTTATACAGCAAAGCCATGAAGTGAGATGGGTACAAAGTGGAACAAAACTGTAAGATTCAATGGAAATTTACAAGGGGGACATGAGGTGGGGCAAAACCGTGATACACCTATATGATTACAACAACAGTTACCCAGGTAACATTGATTAAATGGGGATCAAATGGGAGAACAAGTCACAAACAAGGGATTTTCCATTTAGAATATCGATCACCGCTATCTCTAGGGGAAACAGTGCCTCCTCTTTTTATAATGCTGACCAATGAATGTGCCTCAACTGTTTTCCAGGTTGGCTCCTGGCCTTGTTGGCTCCCAAAGGGCCAGCACCCTCAAGGCGGCCCTGTCTAACTGCCTGCAAGATATCTAATTAACTGAGCTATCTTCAATAAAACATTTACAGGTGGTGAATTTTAACAGCATGATTAACTTATTTATCAGTTGTGTCTTCAGATTGTGCCTTGCATTTAGGGATTGTTTGCTGACAAGTCTGGTGCGGCCAAGTACTGGCCGTTGTTTGCAATAGAAAGGCTATCAAGTCAGTCTGTTTCAGCATTTGTAAAGTGAAGCACTCAGGGGTCACTGGAATGGAGTCACAGCACAAGGCACAGCCTAGAAGCTACCGATCTCCACAACACAGAGGAATTCCCAGCAGGTCCCTCTGCGGCATCCTACCTTCTATAGTGGTACTGAGGAAGGATAGAAGAAAGCTGGAAGCTAGGTAGGAAGGAGACAAAGAAATCAAGATTTTTTAAATGGTACTTTAAGGAAAAACTGCAGCTTCAAAACACACTGCCAGCTTATTTACTCTTTTTCCTTCAAATTAACAAAGTCTACCCATTCTTTTTTACTGGCAAATGGGCCTCTTACGCCCATGAATGGACCCCTCTTTTGAGATTTCCCAAAGGAACACACCATTTTATCACTAGGGGTGGGCCATTCTCTCCCACCCATTAAGACTAAAATTTAAGGGCCAGGGATTTAACTCAGCGGTTCTGCCACCTGCCTCACAAGCGCAAGCACAAGAACAAGGTCCTGGTCCAATCCGCAATACCAAATATAAAAAAAGGAGACTAAGATTTAAATCCCCTACAGATTTCCACCCCGCTAAAGACATAGAACATCTCCAGGTCTCAACTGTGTAGTGCCTTATTTCTTCGAGTGCCCCGCACTCCTCTCTAGTGTAAGTTTTATATCTACCTCTAATAAATCCTTGTGGTGCCTCTACTTATTTTAAAGAGTTGGGTTAAGTTCCTTATTGCAGCCTCAGAGACCCTACAGCCCAGCCCTGTACCAGCATCTCTCCTTCTGATCATTGGCAAATGATTGAATGATGACATGGCTGAAAGTTCACGTGCCATCTCCACAGAAACAACAATTTTCAGAGACTATGGGGTCTACATTTAATGGGGAGAAAATTCTCTAAAGAAAACAAAAAGGATTCACTCAAATTTCTTGACTGTTCAGAGCACCATCTTCAGCTGAAAATTTGGCTTCCACTCACTGCACCACCTTCAGGCCTTCCTCAGGTAGAATAGAAGGGAAAGAACTTTTGAAATAAAGCTTCATTTGCATATTGAAAAGCTTTAGTCCAGAGATTTTTCCCAAAACAGAAGAGCAATTTAAAAACTGAATCCAAATGCACCCAGCAGCTTTTAGATTGGTAGG